GAGGAGGAGGAGGAGGAGGAGGGAGAAGAAGAAGATGACGAAGAAGAGGGAGGAGAAGAGGAAGAGGAGGAGGAGGAGGAGGAAGAAAATGATGAAGAAGAGGGGAGAGAAGAAGAGGAGGAGGAGGAGGAGGAGGAGGAAGAAGAAGAAGAAGAAGAATAGTGAAAACAGGGACCTTGAGGCAGCAACGAAAAAAATAAATAAAATGGGTATGGCTAACGGAGGAGGAGGAGAAGAAGAGGAGGAGGAAGAAGAAGAACTTCAAGAAGACGACGAAGAAGAGGGAGGAGAAGAAGAGGAGGAGGAGGAGGAGGAGGAGGAGGAAGAACTTCAAGAAGACGATGAAGAAGAGGGAGGAGAAGAAGAAGACGAGGAGGAGGAGGAGGATAAGGAGGAGGAGGAAGAAGAAGAAGAAGAACTTGAGCCGATGGCTAAGAGAGGAGGAGTAGAAGAGGAGGAGGAGGAGGTAGAAGAAGAAGAAGAAGAAGCGGAGGACGACTGTGGCTAATGGGCGAGGAGAGTGACCACAAAGAAGAAGAAGAAGAAGAAACAAACCTGGGGGGCGTGATGGAGTGGCTCGTTGGCGGGGGGGCATGATGGCACGGCTGGCTGGTGGAGGAGGCGGTGGCGATGCTGCACCCCGCGGAGACCTACAGACGATGGCGCGGCTGCACTGAGTGATGGCGCGGCTGGTTGGCGGTGGCGACGATGGCACGGCCGGCTATCGGAGGCGACGACGGAGCGGAGCGGCTGCACAGACCAGAGGTGAGGGGGGTTGAACGCGCGATGCGTTTTCCCCCGCTGCGGGATCAGTTTCCCGCCACATCGGATTCAAAAAAGTGGTCGATCTTTGCCGCTGATCTCCAACGATCGGCGGCCAAGATTGGCCACTTTTTGGAGTCCGAAAACGGGGGCCTACACGACCCAGTTTCGTTATTGCGGGGCAGGGCCCGCCCATATGAGGCCTCCTTTACATGTACACACCGCCAAAAAAAATAATTCAGGCCCCAGCAAAAATGCGCTGGGGGCGACCAGTAGGGAACCGGCCCGGGCCACCGGCCGGTCCGACCGGGAGGACCGTGGATGGGGTAGGGGTCCCTGGTCCATCCGGGGACCAGCCCTGGTTGGTACCGAGTACATCGCGGCTGTGCTACGCATGAACCGGAAGTGGTGACGGCTCAGCGTGGAAGGAGACAGACATAGCCAGACCTTCGGAGCGCCGGCCATAGCTGGGACCTGCGCTGTACTCTGTCAGGACGCGGGGCTGTACAGAGGTCTGGGCTACTCGAGGTCTGCTGGAGGCAAGAGAAGGTGGTGCCCTGCTGGACCCTCCTCCGGGGTAGGGTTACAGGGTTGTGGCGCTGCAGCCTTACCTGCAACTTCTTCCTCAGAGACCATCTTGTCAGGAGTGGTGGCGCTGCTGCAGACTTCCACCAGGGAAGTCGTCCGACACTTCGTCATCACCAGATACTGTGGCGCTGGTCTTCTTCTTCATCCTCTGAGTGGCACTTGGCCTCAGAGGCCTGTTTCAGGGTGGCGCTTCCCTCTGGAGGCTGTACATGGTTGGCGCTTGATGTTTCAGGGACTCAGGGGTGTTGATAGCGGTTCGTCAGGGTTGGGGAGTGAAGCGCCCCTTCCTTCTGTGCATGTATGGGCATACCTGGGAGTCTATGTGAGTGAGTGTTGGTCTTCAGATAACAGACAACCAGAATCATAACAGGGATTTGTCATGCGTTATAACTTGGGAGAACGGAATGTGTCTAAATTTAGGGGCCAATCGATGGAGAGTGGGGGGTATGTCAATATTGTTAGGTTTGGTTGAGAACTCATGAAGCAGAACACCAGAGCTATGATGAGCTATTTAGCCATACCTGACTTTCTGTATTTGATTCACAATTGATGGGAGAAGTGTAGAGGAATAGTACTTCAGCTTCAACATTGCAAAAAGTCGGATATTCAGACATTTCGGCCTTGAATCTCGACTTGCAGATGATGGAAGATGATATCGAGTACCTCAAGGATGAGAGAATTGCATGCATCATTGGAGAATGTTCAGCACAGGTGCGATGAGGCTCGCCCAGCCCTCTAGACGTAGTCAATACCACACCAGTTTTTCCTTGGGAAGATTTTTTGTGAAGCTCATTGGGGCTTGAAAATATGTTGTGAATTGTAAAGTGTGTTTATGCAACTGCAATCATATAATGTTTGCGGAGGGGCACACCGTTTGTTGTTGTTCTATTTCATCCTGCTCTTTTCTTGCTTGCGTACCAACTTGCTTGGCATTGTGCAAAATGGAATGAAGATGAGCTTAGATGACAATAGAAATTGTGAAAAGGGAACATCATCAAAAATAAGTATTTTGGGTTTGCTGTCTCCGTGCTCTCTTTGTTGTCTTGCTTTCCTTCCCCTTCCTCCCCTGTGGCCCTCCCAATTTCCCTGCTTCGTTCCTCCATCCCTTCCTTCCGTCTTCCCTGTTTTGTGCCTCAATCTCTCCCCCTCTTCCTCCCTCATCCGGCCGTCTCTTGAACTCTCATCCCTTTGTTGCTTTCACACTCACTGTCCTCATCTCTTCACTCCTGTGTTTTGCCCTGTGTTCTTTGTCAAGTTTGAAGCCTCAACATAATATGTGCATAGTAGTATGATAGCACTGCATACTCCGTTGAATGCGGTCCACCCATGCGGAGGGCTGTGTGGTGAACTTGAGCACTGTGTGCACACACAGCGCACAGGACCTGTGTGCTGTGCAGTACACAGCTGCCTTGGTGGTGTGCATGTGTGGCACACCATGTGCTCCATGCTGTGCAATGACAGCATCATACAGGTGAAACATTTTTCCATTTTCTTTGGAACTTAAGGCACCAGATCTTCTGTTCAGATTGTTGTGTTGATGTGCTTCAATAGGCATGCTTGCACTCAAGCCTTGCATTGCAGGTTGTGGTTGGTCAATGACCCATCTGAAAGATGTTCGCCTTTCAGGTTTCTTGCACTTTGTGGTGACTCACATGTGCCCACACACACACACCGAGGAGGCTGTCATAGAAAGTATTTGTCTCTCCTGCGTGGACTATCCCCGATGTCCACACACGAACTGGTCCTGTCTGGTCGGTAGGGGTCGCCACTTGCCATAGGCAAAGGCTGTTCCTCAATTCAAGATCTAATGCAACCCAAACACTGACTGGCCTCATGTGCCATTCTAGAGTCTCGAGCAGTGAATATTTAGAACCCTGTGAGAACTCCACCTCCTATTTCCTTCCTCTTGTGTACTACTACTAAATGCATGTGAATGACCATCATTAAGAGAAAAGACAAAATATAAGCTGAAGATCTGAGGAAACATGAACAGGAATATACATCCACCTTTACTCTTGCCTCCTTTCATAGTGTGAAAGTGTGCTGTTACGGCAAACGGAGATGTGGGCAGCGCACACTCAACCCCAGTCAATGTGGTGAGCCTTGTACATGGGACACAGTAAAAGGGGAGCTGCAAGAGCAAATGAAGGGGGTGCCCCAAAGAAAGCCATAGTGAACACAGTTAAGAAAGGGATCCAAATGCTTCTATTGTGCTCCGTGTTGCTTGCTATAGAGGCCTCAAGTGTTTTCGTTGTCTGCAATAGGACTAAAGCTGCTTCAATCTTGGATCTACTCATCTGGGTGGAATGCGGGATTTTGTGGTAAAATTCAAATCACACGTGGACATACAGCTGCCATAGCCCTGTAGGTGTCCAGTTCCTTGCGGTTGGGGCCCAAGTGGGTTGCCAACAGCTGCCCCGCTCCAAGTCTGGAGTCTGCAGTAGGCAATCAAACTCAGGTCCTAGCTTCAAATGTTATTGGCAGCAAAACAACAAAACAAAGCAAAGACTATAACATATAGGCAGGTCCCGGATTCAAATCCTGTTGCCCAACAGCTGATTGTGTTTGAGGTCATAGAGATTGTGTTGAAAGGTGGGTATGCTGACAGAGAATTAGAAGAAGGATGAACTGACCATGGGGATTTCACACCTTCTGTTCTTTTGTACATGTAGGCGCGAAGACACACAGCTGGGGCTATCTCTCGATCATGCAATAATAACTTCTCAATGCCGTTGGGTGGAGACACTACCACTAGCCGTGTGAGTACGTTGGTATCAATGCAGAGATTGGATTTGGCATACTTGAGGCAACAGCTGAAGGAACAAGAGACCATCGCTGGTAGTTTGCTTGTTTGTGGGGTCGGTAAAGCCATCCCGGATGATGGGACTGTTGCTAGGGAGGTTAGCATGAGCAGAATCATGGGCGCCTGTGGAAAAGTTAGAACAGATGAGGAGAGTGGCTGGTTGCGGGCGACAGGGTCTATACCACCAGCTCCGGAGAGCTGGGCTTCCATTTATGAGAAGAAGGTCGCAGCTCATTGTCGCATATTGGAGCTGGAGGCAATGATCGACACACAGTGGGCTGAGATGTGGGAAAAGTTTGGTGGCCGATTGCTCTTGCTTCTGGCCCTGGCTGCTCGTGCTGAGCGTGTGCAGGTGAGTGCATTGTATGCGACAACTATTTCATCCGGTTCCCCACAGAGGTCTGTCCCATTTCCTAACACCATTGGAATTGCAGTTTCCTGGCCCACTGGTTAATGAAAGTTCTCAATCCTTCGACCAGCCACCAGAGCCACAGATAGACCTTTGATGATGTAAGGGCCACGCCTCACTTTCAATCAGAAGTATGGTTTTGGAGTATGGAGCCAGGCTGGGCCGCCGCCTAGCCAGGCATGCCCGGTCAGGCGGAGCCCGGCTGGGCAGGGCTGGGCTGGTTTGCTCGGGAAACTCAAGCGACGCAAAAACCTGGCGGGAATTCTTTTTTTTTTTTTGAAAGTGGGGTCTTGCTGTCCTCCCCCAGAGGACCCCGAATCTGCAATTAAAAAGTAGATCTGGGGAGGTGGGAAGACGGGCGCGAGAGGAGGGGAGGGTTGGGGTTTGACAGGGGGTCTAACCAGGTGCATTGCGACTGTTTTGCTGGTATGTGGAAGAAGAAGAAGGAAGAAGAAGATGGGTGGTGGAAGATGGCGGGCAAGGGTGCATAAAACAGTGGCCGAGGAGGAGGAGGAGGAGGAGGAGGAGGAGAAGAAGAAGAAGAAGAAGAAGAAGAAGAAGAAGAAGAAGAAGAAGAAGAAGCATCTACAGGGGTCGCCAAGGAGGATCCCATCTCAGAGATCCGGAAGCTTACGAACACTGGCCAAAACCTAATTTGGGCGATTTTGATGAGAAGATTGCAGACTGAGGGTGTAGGTCCCATCGTCAACCATTGACCGTCCAAAGGGGGGGCGAAGTGACTTTTGGGAAGGACCAGGTGGGGTAAAGGCCAACGGGTGTGTTCTTTCTAGGGCTATTGCTTGATCCGACAGATCTGGATTCCGGATCTGAGAGGAAAGAGTGGGACAAGGCAAGCTGACAGTCTAATGATAACGGCTGACCGTCCAAACGGGGGGCGAAGAGGCTTATGGAATGTACCAGGCTGGGTAAGGTCAACAGATGGGTTCTTTCTAGGGTCTACTGCTTTATCTGACAGATCTGGATTCCGGATCTGAGAGGAAAGAGAGGGACAAGGCAAGCTGACAGTCAATCCTCCCGTAGTGGAATCAATGCTGCTCAGGGGTCCTTCGGCCTGACGGAAGGAAGCGTGTGTGATGGGTAATTGTTGTAATGTATTTTTGACTTGCCGGTGGAAAAAAAAGAGAAAAAAAAAAAAAAGAAGAAGAAGAAGAAGAAGAAGAGGGAAAAGAAGGGCGGTCGAAGATGGTGGGTTTGTCTCAAAGATTAAGCCATGCACGTCCAAGTGTGAACACTTTGCACTCTTCCTGGGTACGTGAGGATGAGTGCTATCATAGAGAGTCGCAGCTGGTTCACTGGGTGTGTGTGTGGGGGTTGTGGGGAAGGGCTCGGCAAGCTGGTTCACTGGGTGTGTGTGTGGGGGTTGTGGGGGTCTTGCTTGGCGAGTGTAGTACCTGCTTGGATAGCGTAGGGAGGCTCGGCAAGCCGGCCCTCCTGACGGGGCTGCCCTCGACGGCCGCGCGACATGGGTCCCCCCCAAGACCGTCTCCAACCTACATTAAAAAAAAAAGAAAAAAAAAAAAACTGTGAATGACAGTCAATGACTCATTAAATCTGTTATCAACTTATCATTTATTTGGTGGTCTCCTTACCACTTGGATAAGCGTGGTAATTCTAGAGCTAATACGTGYAGCATATCCCGACTTCTGGAAGGGATGTATTTATTGGATAAAAGGCCGATATGGGCTTGCCCATTGTTGCGACGAATCATCGTGGCTTGTCGAATCGCATGGCCTTTGAGCCGATGATGTTCCGTTCAAAGGGGTGCACGAACAGAGGCGGAGGAGGAGACGATGACGACGAAGAAGAAGAAGAAGAAGAAGAAGAAGAAGAAGAAGAAAAAGAAGAAGAAGAAGAAGAAGAAGACTATGGGTGGTGGGAGATGGCGGGCCGGGGGTAAGAAGAAGAAGAACTTACTCTCTTTCTCTCTCTCTCTCTCACACACACACACACACAACTAACTAACGACTTACCGATGGAGGCCATGGCGAGTGCGCTGGAGGCGATGGCTCACAGAGTGCGCAGGTGCGATAATGGGGTGGGGCGATCCCGCGCAGGCTAGTAGCTGGAGGTGAAGGCGTCATGACAGGCTGCAGGAGATGAGGGCGTGCGAATTGCCAGGAGTCATCATTGGAATGGGCAGGGTAGGTCGGGGGCAGTGGGATGGCAAACACAGGGGAGGGAGCTCTGGCCTTGCTCCACTACACAATACTCTACATGCATGCACGCGGCCCAAGAAGCATCGAAATGCATCTAGAGTGTTGTGTAGTGGAGCATGGCCAAAAAGAATTGAAAATGGGTCTGGTAGTTCCCACCCTGAACGTTTCAAAAGCGCGGCCTATCTGGGCCGCCGATCTCTCGATATCGGTGGTCCAGATCGGCTGTGATTTTGAATCGTTCAGGGTGGGCGTACTGGACCCGTTTTCTATGTTTTTTTGCCTAAAACACGACGTGGGGGGACGAAAAGGGCCCTGCCATCAAAAAAAGCCCGACCCCCCCCCCCCCCCCCCCCCC